GGGGTCACCCACCGAGGACCTTGCGTGGGGAGGCCAGTGGTGACACCCCAAGGCCACCACAGCATCCCCAGCACCAACCCATGTCCCTGGTGGTGACCCCCAAAGGCCACTGCAGTGTCCTCAGCACTGACCCCCCAAGGCCACCGCAGTGCCCCCAGACCAACCCACACCCCCAGTGGTGACACCCCAAGGTCACGCCACCCGTGTCCCCTCACCTGGCGCCTCTCTCTGAGCTCTCCCCACCCCTAAGGTAGGTCCTACATTATTTACCACCCTGTGCCACCTGCCACTGTCACCCCCGTGCCACCCACTGGCCCTGTCCATGGGGACCGTCCCCCACGGGTGACCCTGCCCACAGGGTGACCCTGTCCCACGGGTAACCTTGCCCACGGGGAATGTACCCTATGGGTGACCCTGTGCAGGGGGACCCTGTCCCATGGGGTGATCCTGTCCATGGGGTGATCCTGTCCATGGGGTGACCCTGTCCCACGGGTGATCCTGTCCCATAGGTGATCCTGTCCATGGGTGACCCTGTCCCACAGGTGACCCTGTCCATGGGGTGATCCTGTCCCATGGGGTGACGGTGTCCCACGGGTGACCGTGTCCATGGGGTGACTGTCCCACGAGTGACCCTGTCTATGGGGTGACCCTGTCCCACAGGTGAGTTTGTCCCATGGGGTGATCCTGTCCATGGAGTGATCTTGTCCCACGGGTGACCCTGTCCATGGGTGACCCTATCTGTGGGGTGACCGTGTCCATGGGTGACCGTGTCCGTGGGGTGACTGTCGCACGGATGACCGTGTCCATGGAGTCACCCTATCCCATGGGGTGACCGTGTCCCTGGGGTGACTGTCACACGGGTGACCGTGTCCATGGGGTGACTGTAGCACGGGTGACCGTATCCATGGGATCACCCTGTCCCATGGGGTGCCCGTGTCCGTGGAGTGACTGTCACATGGGTGACCGTGTCCATGGGGTGACCCTGTCCCATGGGGTGACCCTGTCGCACGGGTGCCCGTGTCCGTGGGGTGACTGTCGCACGGG